CAAAACAAAGTTACTAGGTCTGGAACGCTCACAAAGGGCTGTCCTGAAAGTGTCGATGTTTCTACCATTCAGACACGCCACTTCTGATACCTACCATAGGTCCGAGGTGCTCAGTGTTCGTAAACTGTTCCTGTATCTGTGCCTGCGAAGATATCACAAACATATAGTCCCGTTCCTGACAGATACTAAAAACAAGACAGTGTGTACAGTACCAGTTCCAACAGTGAAAAGTGCTTTTGCACGAAAATAATTTTATAATATTACCCCTCGAGTATACAATAAGCTTTTGAAGACTAACAGAAATATAAAGCACGTCAATAATTATTCTATAAAGAATATAATCCTAGATTGGCTAAATAGACTAGAATACAATACACACTACTACATACACACTAACACACACACACTAACACACACACACACACACAATTCCAATCCAAATAAATTATTATTATTCCATATTTTTCCTTTTAGTCAAATAACTATTAAATTTAGACACTTATATCTTTGGGTCTTACATCAAATATAGTCAAATACATTTCACGTATTTCAGTACCAATATCTTTTAAAATGGATATTCACTAAGGAAATTAGGGATGGAAAACAAAAGGGGAGATCAAGTGTCCCCAGGTTCCCTTACTTATATGTGCTGCATCTACCTCCCATCTTTGCAGTCCAAACTCTATTCTGCTACACTAGAGAATACTCCAATTCGAGCGAAAAAGCCGCTACACGCTATTCTTTTGATACGTGGACCAACCTTAGTTAAACTTACATTATAGGGTAGTGGCACCAAAACATGAACGACCCCCAATAGATGAACGTTTGACCGAAATTTAAAGATATTAAAAAATCTGCCGCTTACTTTTGTGTAATATTTTTTTATGTAATAAGGCAACACTTTTTCTGCTCGATGCCATTAAAATATTAACATTAATGTCAACGACGCGCTCACAGTCGCGCGCCGCGTAAGCTCCTTCCTCCAAAAAACAGTTTTGTATGGAAACCTACTTAAGGTAAGTAGCTTCCACATTTAAGCATAACGTCAAATTAAACATATAATTATAGCTTTGTTTTGTTGGTTATAGTTGCAATAACATCTTGATATATTTGGCTTTGATTACGTAGTGTCAGGTTTACGCACAATTTATTGTATTTTAGAGAAATACTCTGTTCAAGTAATGGATTATATTTTGTAAGTAAAATCCAATAAATGAACGGCGTTCAACTATTGGAAATAGTGCAAATATTTGCAGACATCAATAATGTATATAATGATTCGTATAGTCAAACCAAAACAACTCAAATTTATTTTAAATAATATTATGAAGCTAGTTACCAAAAGTTGAACATAATTTGTAAAGGCTTTTGTTTATTTTAGTATGAAACCGTTTACTGTTCAATTTTAGGATTCATGCCTAAAACTTGAACCAAACAATTATGTTCAAATTATATTCGTTCAACTTTTGTGTATCGGTTTTTAAGTTGAAAGCTTAAGTTATTTTGTTTTTCAAATTTTCAATTCAAAGTTGATGTGTCGAATAATCAAGGAACATCCCAGAACCTTGACGTTGCTCCGATTATTCAGGATTTATCACAGTAAGATAACTTGCTCAACAATGAAAAAGGTGCCCAAAGCCCTGAAGTTACATGTGAAAAAAGTCAATGTACGTCTGATCCAACTCCTGAAACTAATTAACCGGTCTGTACCAAAGTAATAAAATATAAGATTGATGAGTCACTGAAACTTCCCTAATCCAAAGTAGGCACAAAGCGAAAACAATTACAATCACCAGTTCCTCTAGCAATAACTTCTAAAAAATTTAAAGAATACCTGGAACTCAAGATAATGAGCAGAAAAAGAAAGAAGATATAAAGAATAGAAAAATCCAGCGAGAACAAGCAAAAGCAGAAAAGGATAAAACTATTAAAGTAAATAAATCTTAGTAAAGAAAGTAAATACTAAGGTCAGTAAAGCTAAAGTTTGTGCTGCTGCAAAGGAAGAAACGACACTTCAAAGTCAATTAACTAAAATCGAGAAACATAGAACTGCTACTACTAGTTTAGATGTAAGTACCGAAGAGACTGAAATGATCAATGAAAATAACAAAAGTCTGATTAGAGATAAGGATAAGAACATAAGTTTTGGAGATTACGTTATGTTGTGGTTTGAGACTAATAAAAGAAATCGCTACTATGTCGGACAAGTCCTGAAAATTGACTTTGACAATGACTTCGTTAAAGTTAAATGTTTAAGGAAGAAGGCCAGCACATTTGACAATTTGACATATTTCAATGAGCCCTCCACTGCTGATTTAACAAAAGTATCGATATCAGCTGGCATAAATGTTTTACCGTCTCCCCGAATTGAAAGAAGAGGATTGATTACATTTGAAAACACTCAGCCACAACACAACAACGATCTCAATTTGTGTGAATAACTTAACTACAGTCCTATCTGTAGTTATTACATTACATAGGTAATACATTTGGTTCACCCAGATTAGTGGTGTAAGTTTAATAACTTAGTTTTGCTTACAGCTGGCTCCTGCTATTGTTAAATTTATTAGTCAGGTCCAGCTATTGTTTAGTTTACTAGTGAGGGTGTGATTGTGATCTAAATAATTAGGTTCCAATTGTATTACTTCGTTGATTAATTCGATAATTGCGTAAATAATATTGTACTTAAATAAAATTGATGATTCTAAATTTTATAAGGTTATTAAGACAAGTGATGACTGCGCTAAATTACAGGAAGATATAATATCCTTACAAAACTATTGTAAAAGTAATCAACTGTTCCTCAATATTAACAAATGTAACATAATAACTTATACACGTAAAAAAATGACAACTGAGTACGAATATAAACTTGACAATAACACAATTAAAAGAGTAAATACTATTAGGGATTTAGGTATAATAATGGACTCGAAATTGTCTTTCACCCAGCATACAGACCACATTTTAAGTCGTGCATTCCGAAGTCTAGGATTTATTCTCAGAATAAGTAAACCTTTTAAAAAAATTATTACGCTTAGAATTTTATACTCTTCCTTTGTAAGGTCAATTCTGGACTACTGTAGCACTGTTTGGAGTCCATACTATCAGGTTCATATCAATAGAATTGAAAGACTACAAAAAATATTTGTAAAACACCTTAATTATCGCTTTAAACATACAAATGAATCATATGAGGCATTATTGAAAGAATATAAGTTATTATCACTTCATAATAGACGTATAATGTTCGATATGATATTTTTGTATAAAATACTCAACGATCAAATAGATTCTTCTGCGCTTTTAAGTAGGATATCTTTCGTGAACCGTGTGCGTATGCCTATGCGGTCCTCTCGCAAGCGATTACTATTTGTTCCTCCACCGCTCACTAAATTATACACGCGAAATTCCTTTATTTATCGTTCCACCAACAATTATAATAATAACTTCAATAACATTGATATATTTAATATTTCACATAGTAATATAAAGAAATTTCTTAAACTAAAATTAAAAGACAACATCTAAATCAAAATATTTTTGCATGTTTATATGTTTTATCTTCTCATGTATTTTATTTCTTTTTAAGTACAATACTTGTTCTATAATGTTTTTCTGTAACTAATAAGTTAAATTGCTGGCACTGTAGGTCGTCTCTTATAATTTCACTGTAACCACAGAACAATTATATTAAAATGTATGACTGTTTGTAGCCACAAATAAAGAGAAAAAAAAAAAAAAAAAAAAATTAGTACGGGTAATTCTTGAGACTGTGTAATATTTAGGTGTATTAATTAGTATAAATAATATTTTTTTGTCAAAAGTTGATTAGTTTATGTAACGAGTCAATTGATCTCGCAAAGACAAAAAAATATTAATAGCAAAGAATGTGATTTTTGAATATAAAGAGATAAAAGAATTTATTCGCAAATAATGCTTTTTATTTAGAAATTGAAAAATTAAATAAAATAGCATCCTATTCCAATCAAAATGTTAGTTCAACTATTGGGTTCTAAACGTTCATAATTAAGACACGTCGTTCAAGTATAGGGGTAAAACCACAAATTTTACACAAATAGTTATTTTATCAAAAAACTGGTAGCCTAGGGAATTATCTTCTTAAATTACTAAAATCTTGAGGATAATCTGGAATCATAAAAAATATCAGCAAGCGCCAATAGTTCGAAAAGGCCGAGAAAAAGGGATTCAAAGTTGCAAAAACCTCTTAATCGTTCATTTATTGGTGCCACTACCCTAGTCAAGAAGTCGTACACGTATATAAATACGTATAAAAATGTACTTTTGATGCATTATTGTTATGACAAAAACATATCGCAGTTATTTTTTAATACTAGTAAGGGCATAATTTATACAGTTGCACAAAGACATGCTATCGTCGAATTTCATCAACATTTCTTGTTTCTTTAATTAAGTAGTCTAATTATGCACTACTACCACTTAAAAGCTGACTGTACTAATTCCAACCGGACATGTACCTATTGTAAATTGATACATTTGTTTTTCACAAAATTTATTTTGTACAATTGTCGCAATGCAAATTATAATTGCTGAATATTAGAAAAATATTTCCACAGTGTTAAGAAACCTTTTTTAAATCATAGCATTCAGTGATGTTTACTTGACTTTATTATTACATTTTATTTACATCTGTTATTAATTTTCAACAAAAATGTTGACCATTCCATTTGCTTATCATGCAATAAGTATTTTGAAATAAATTAAGGTTTTCCAATCAATACACCTTTATGACCATGACCATCACCTAGTGTTTTAATTGTTGATACTAGGGATGGTACGGAGCTTCGGTTCCGGTTCCGTTAAGTCGGAACTTCCGATTACTATTATACTTTCGGTTCCGACTCCGGCTCCGACATTTTTTAATCGGAGGTGTAAATCGGAGGTCAAAGCATAGATAGCGGGCGAGTGCGGCGGCGTGTGCCGACCGACTGTTATGATTCGACAGGTTCATAGGCGTCGCGCGGGGAATCGCCCCTCCCCCGACCCGCGCACTCTATTGTCAATTATTTTTTCACTTGTTAACGCACACGACAGCACGACACGTTCATTGGTTAAATAGATATTTGTTTTGATTTTTGCGGCTTATTATCAATAAAAGTGATCTGTTTTTGTGTTGGACAATGAAACCTAAATCAAGTTGTATTTGGAACTACTTCATTCAAGTTAATTCGGATTCGGCAAAGTGTAAACTGTGTATGAAGACGTATTCAAGAAAGGGAGGTACGACAACGTCTTTAAAAAGCCATTTGAAGTCTGTCCATGCCACTGAATATGAAGAATTAATAAAGTTAGAAACTGAAAAAAAAAATACTGTAAGTGTACAGCCTTCGACTTCGACGCCCCTTCAGGATGCTAAAAAACAAATAACTTTGAAAGAAACTTTGGCGAAGAATACAAAATGGTGCACTTCAAATCCTAAATCTATGGAAATTGACAAATTGATTTCTGAAATGATTGCTTTGCAAGATCTACCCTTCAATTTTGTAGAAGGTATAGGATTTCGGCGACTTATGCAGTTCATCGTGCCGAATTATCACTTAAGGGGAAGACATTTTTTTACTGAAAATATTTGTGGCCAATTATATGAAACATTAGCAAAACAAATTAAGGATTTGCTCACGCAAATTGAAAAGATCTCATTTACAACAGATATTTGGACCGAACCAAGTTCGAATGTGTCTTTATTGAGTCTGACAGCACATGGCATAAATGGAGATTTTAGAAGACTCAAAGTTATTTTAAAATGCCACACATTTGACGGAAGACATACAGGAGACCTAGTTTTAGAAAATATTAAGAGTATGTTAATGGAATGGGACGTCGTAAAAGAGAAAATTCACTGCTTTGTACGCGACTCTGGATCTAATATGATACGAGCAATGAAACTCGGCGACATACCTGATGTCAGTTGCACTATACACCAGTTGCAACTGTGTGTACGAACATTATTAGATTGTGATGAAGACATTAAAGCCTTAATATCGAAATGCAAAAAAATTTCGACGCATTTCAATCATTCCCAAATAGCCCGGACTGAACTGCACAAAATACAAAAGGAACAACTCAACCAAGAATGTTTGAGTGTAATACAGGAGTGTAGTACGCGGTAAGTTGTATTAAGTGCATTTATTTTTACCTCCAGATTATTTCATTTAATCAAAGATCTATCCATGCTAATACAATAAATTCAAATAAAACCACTAAATCGATTTTAATAAACCTTGCTGTGGTATATGCACGCTGATTATAATGAGTGGGTTATTTAGTTTCTGTCATTTATTTATTTAAATAATACTCTAAGTTAGTATAACTTAGAGTATTATTTAAATTATAAGCGTTAATTAGTTTAATAATTTGTTACAGGTGGAACAGTACATTTTATATGTTACAAAGAATGATTAGAATACAAGATTCTCTATGCCTGTACGCATCTAAGCACAACATCTCTCAATTGTCTCCTGAAGAATGGCTGCAGCTTAAAAAAATAGTGACTATACTTCAACCTTTTGAAGAAATTACCCGAAATATGAGTGACAATAACACAAGTATCTCATCAGTAATTCCACTTATACACACTCTTAAGTATACATTACGATTACACACTGAAGGCAATAAACAAGACACAAATGAAAAATTTAAAAGTATAATAAAAAGTACCATCGATCAATTAAATTCTAGATTTAGTGACCTTCAATCAAACAATTTCTTTGCAATAGCAACATATTTAGATCCTCGTTATAAAACAAAATTTTTTAATGAAGTGGCTAAACAGAACATTGAAACAGAAATAATGTCAATATTTGATGCAGCAGATACTTCTAAAAACGAGGCTGATAATATTGTCGCTCCTGTAGAAAAACGGGCAAGAATGGAATTACCAGCAGAAACTAGCCATAGTAGTAATGTGCAATCAGTTTTGTCAAACATATTATTAAGTAGTGATGAAGAAGACGATAATAATACCACACTTGATAAAAGTCCAGTTTTTGATAAATTTGTCTTCGTAAAAAATATACTAAATGAGTTCAATAAAGAAAAACGTATTAGTATTAGTGATGGTCCGCTATTATGGTGGAAAGTTAATGGTAATACCAAATTCCAGCCCCTGCAATCAATTGCTCGTCAATTTTTGTCTTGTCCACCAAGCTCGGTAGCGAGCGAATAACTTTTTAGTGGCGCTGGCCTAATCTACGACCCCTTAAGAAACAGATTAGAGGGAGACAAAGCTTCAAAGCTTTTATTCGTCAAATATAATACGCTACTTTTAGAGTCAATTAATACGATTTAATTTTTTTAAAGCTTTTGTTCGTTAGTATAATAACTATACTAATATACTTATACTATAATTTAATTACTAATTGATTAGTATATGCTACTTCGGGTTTAAATTCATTCTATTTAAACTTGTTGTTTATATGCCAATTTTGTTCATTTTTTATGTTTTATCATAAAACATAAAAAGTGAGCGATTCGTTGATTTTTTGCGTGGCTTGCGAGCGCGTATCCTTCAGCTGCTACAGGCGCGCCAATTAACTTTGAACAGTATTAAAGTTAACTTTGAATTATTTGCCGAATTTTATTTAAGAAGTGATGGTACAGACAAATGCGAAATTAAGTCTTTTGCTACCGAGAATATGGTCGTTCACAAAAACTTCGATTTAAATGATTTTTTTTCTCAAGTAGTTGGTATTATTTCAGGTAAAATTGATGAATTTGAAGAACGTGACAGTGGATGTTTTACGTAATTTACATTTAGAAATTAATATTAATAAATATAGTCCTCTAAGAGCGTCGAAATTTATCGATTTGCCAAAATCTCTAAAACTCAAACGTGCTTGTATTAACATTCACAATAGTGATAATTTTTGCTTTTTGTGGAGCATAATGGCAGCATTATTTCCTGATTGAAAGAAGAAAAAAGAGATTGAAAATATCGAACATCGAACTTCGTCTTACCCTCATTTTGAGGACGTGCTCAATATAAAAAATATGACTTTTCCGGTAAACTTTTCTGACATCAAAACATTCGAAAAAAATAATCTTAGCATAAGCATAAATGTCTATGGGTTAAAAAATAAAACAAACATTGTTGGTCCCGTATATCGCACTCAGAACAAAAAGAAAAATCACATAAACTTGTTCATAGAAAAGGGAAATCTCACACATTACTGCTTGATAAAAAACTTAAGCAGTTTGTTGAGATCACAACTTACAAAGCATCATAGCGAAATATATTTTTGTGACGATTGCATATTTTTTTTTTGAAAATGCATCAAAATTCAATGTCACGTGTGTGGTGGTGTCGCCACTATTTTACCGAAGCGCGGCACGCTTATTCAATTTAAAAATTATGAAAAAATGCAAGACATGCCTTTTTTAATATATGCAGATTTTGAATCATTATTGCAAATGAGTCCAGACGGGCCTAGTTCCAATTGTACGAAAACATTACAAAAGCATATCCCAGCTGCATTTGCATACTATGTAGTATGCTCTTATGATAGTTCTTTGAATTGAATTTGAACCGCGCAAAAAAACGGAATACGAACTGTTTGCAGCCAATGGATCGCCCATACAAACCTACGTTCATCTTCAGCTCAACCTGCGACTGCGCCGTGTATTTCGATAGAGGTTTGTCGTAGCAGAGGTTTCTAAACCTATTATTGGTGCTTGTTTGATTAATTTCCAACATAAATTTAAAATATTACATTAAAAAAAACGTCAAAAATGACTGATTAGTATACGTCTCCTCTCATTATAATTTAAAATTATTTACAACAGCAATTGGAAAAAAGTGCCCCGTATATTTGTAGTCCAGACTTTTCTGCGTGTCCCTGCATGTGGGCAAGATGTATGAAGTTATATGTCTGGCTTTTATAAACGTATAATAAGACTGAAAATTTTCTATCATTGTTGATGGTGTGTTGATGTTGGATGTTTCCAAGGACGCCTCATAGAGCCTCTTCTGTTGCTAGGCGCCCACCATTACTCAGCCAATAACAGGCTCGAAGTTGTTCCGGCAGCCTAGCAACGAACGTGTGGTGACTGGTGACGACCGAGGGTGACGTGCCGAATCAATATATAAAAATGACATTATGAAATAGTTTTTTATGTGTAGTGATTATTTTTTAAGTGTTCATGTTTATTTCGTATGCTTTTTGTTTGGTTAGTGTTATTATTCGTCCTGACGCTATCTCTTTCACATGTCTGCAAATTCAAACTCTGGCAGTGACGACGTGCAACTGGTTCAGTGTACTAAGTGCTCCCAGCCTCGGTTTTTTTGCAGGAAACCGAGGCTTAAATATACACATTGGCAGGGTTCATAAATCCCCTGCCTCTGTGCCAGCAGTATCTCCATCTTCAAATTCGGGCAACCAACCTCTTTAGCAAATTCTTGGCAATCTAAAAAGTTCACTTCCTGTTTTAAAAAGAATTCCACGTTCTGCCCCCCTAGCATGACTAACAAAACGCGATATGATAAAGCGATTTATCGACACTCAACTGTCAAACTCCGTTGTAGGCTTTCAGTCGCTATTTCTTTATCACAATGCATTGAGCATGTGGTATGAGTGAACACGTCTGAGAGCTGGGCAGAACTCCTAACGCTATAGAATTTTACATGTTAACCAAAACAGTATTTGCACTTCATTGACGCAAAAAGTAAAGGAGAACTGCCGCTTAAATCCGTCGGTTTATTCTCTTGTTATTCCTCCCTCTCGGCCTCCAAATTGTAATAAATCCGTAAAACTAATAGAATCCAAAATAAGCGATGGTGATCTCCTAGGAGCTGCCAACCTCCTGTTCAGAAACGATGTTGTCGCCGTCAACTGCCAGGAGACACTTAGTGCTCTTGAAGACAAGCACCCACCTCCAGCACCTAATCTGCTTCTACCTACGCCACCTGATCCAACACATGCTCATTTCATTACTAAAGATAAGCAAATTTTAGATGCGATATTCTCTTTCAAAACTGCCTCTGCCAGTGGTCTAGATGGGCTTTCTCCACAACATTTAAAAGACCTTCTTTGCGTCTCTGTCGGTGACGCTGGCAGAGTCTTATTACATAATATCACTCATCTGGTTAACTTGATGCTATCCGGCAAAGTTCCTGAAGATATTGCTGATATCTGTTACGGGGCCAACTTAATTGCTTTAAATAAAAAGATGGTGGTATTCGCCCTAAGCTGTTGGCTCCACCTTTCGCCGTTTAGCATCCAAAATTAGTTGTCAACACATTTTACCGACAGTTTCAGCTGAATTCCAACCGATTTAGCTTGGATTTGGTGTCAAGGGAGGTTGTGAAGCAGCTGTGCACGCTCTTCGCACCTTCCTGTCGCTCGACGCAGCGGAGGTGGTCAACTCCGTAGATAGAGGTTTAAAATAAAATTCCTTCTATTTATAACTATCTTTGGCAATGTTACAGCAAACCTACTAAATTAATTTTCAAAAACAGCCTTTTGTATTCATCAGTTGGCTGTCAGTAAGGCGACCGTTCCTCTTGGGCCCGCTATTTTTAGTTTGGCTATATAACCCATTATTGATTCGCTAAATTCTAAATTTAATGTATGGTTCCTTGACGAAGGAACTATCGCTGGTAACAATTCAACGGTTCTCTCAGATTTCCACGTCATTATCGATAAATTCAAAAATATTGGCCTTGATTTGAATTTTTCAAAATGTGAGCTATTTATCCCAGAATCTAAATTTTCACCTGAACAGTTACAACATATTGTCACAAAATTTTCGGCTTTAGCTCCTAATATCAAAATTCTTATAATAAATCACTCCGTCTCTTAGGTTCCCCGATTTTTGATGATGCTATTCCTATTTTTATTAATGAACAAATTTCTAAATTCCAGCATTCTTCCGAAAAATGTCGAAAATTAACCCGCACATGGCTTTATATTTAATTCGTTTTTGCGCGTTCGCCCCAAAATTAATATATTTTTACGAAGCACTCATTTTTGGCTTTTTCCAGGAGAGCTGACAATTATTGACAATTCGCTCAGAGAGACACTCTCTAAAATTTTAAACTGTTCATTTTCGGATAACGCTTTGGAAGCAGGCCTCTCTCCCTGTTCGTTTCGGAGGTCTAGGTACTCGTCATATTTCCCATATTGCCCTTCCCGCTTTTCTATCTTCTGCATATGGTACAGCCAAGCTCTTTAGTAAAATACTATGCCCGTCTTTGGGTGTAGTGGAGTTGGCTCATCTTGCAGAGGCTAGAAGTGCTTGGTCTAGAGCATGCCCGGGAGTGGATCCACCAACCTCTCTATCTTCTCAGAGACAGTGGGACGAGCCGCTCTGTTTGCGTTTTCAGAGTGATCTTTTAGCTTCTTTTGAAAACGCCACTGAGCGTGCTCGACTTCTAGCGGTCTTTCAGGCAGAGTCAGGTTACTGGCTGCAAGCTTTACCTTCAGTCAGTGTCGGGACTTTGCTTGACAAGAGCACTCTGTCTCTGGCAATATCGCTTCGACTTGGTGTCAAGACGAATCATCCCCATCGTTGTCGTTGCGGTACTCGCGTCGGTGAGTTGGGTCACCATGGTCTCTCATGCCAAACGAGCGCTGGCCGAGTCTCCCGCCACGCCTGCATCAATGACGTCATCCGCGGAGCTCTTATCGCAGTCAACGTGCCAGCGGTCCTTGAGCCTAGGGGCATCTTTCGTGACGATGGCAAGAGACCTGAAGGAATGACGCTCATTCCGTGGAAGCAGGGTCGCCCTCTTGTGTGGGACGCAACTTGCGCGGATACGCTTGCTCCGTGCCACACAGGGAGCACCTCCGTTGCTGCGGGTGCGGCGACAGCCTCTGCTGAATGCTCCCAACAACCCACCTACCCACCACAGAATACTCTACAGTAACACAACCTAAACACACTACAACCACACAGGACTCACGACAAAAACCAATCACCAAAAAGTCAAAGACACTGCTATTAAAAAATTACAAAGAGACCTCCAGCCGAGGCCCGACAGAGTTGGGCAGAGCAGTAGCTTTTCAATAAATACGGCAGATGAAGACCAACTCTGGCGGGCTCCGAAGGGGGGTCTCAATCAAAAACGCGCAAATGGCGGCTAGGAAATCCAATATGGATGACTTGAGACCACTGGCCAACGTATCTATACTGGGTGCCACCCTTCCAGCAGCGGAAACCCCAAAAAAAATACCCACACAAACAGTAGACACAGAAATGACAGACCAAGACCAAAACCCCCTTATCGCCCCATCCAAAACAGATACAGCCGACCCGGTAAGTCCACCATGCCCTGTCGCGGGGACGTCGACTGAGGAGATGGTCTGTGCGTCGCAGCTCCCCCCAACCCACCCAAAGAAGGACCACTATAGCATCGTGTGGTCCGCAACAACATGTAACGAGGAGGAAGAAAAGGAAAAGTGGGAAGGGTGTAGTTCAGCCTCAGAATGGACCGACGCGGATACCGTCGAAGGTGAAAGACGTCTCAGCATTTTACCACCAATAGGACTCCATACGGGAGTGTGCAAAGATCTTGCCACAGATCGGGCACGCGAGTACCTACAGGTGGGCAAAGAGGCACTCGAGAGCTCGAAAACCCTCAAAAGGGAACTAAGAGCTACGGCCGTCGAGTGCCTTGGAAATCTTTACGAACTAGTTCTCTCGCTGGCGGATTCTAGAAATCGCCACAGGTTAAACCTAGAGGTTGAGAGAACAAGGGCCGCAAGAGAACTAGTTCATGTGGAAAGGGCCCATAATAGGGAAATGCGGCAAATGCAAGATCGTTTTGATGAGCGCCTCCAAGAATTCAAAGAGGCATGGACCGGTACCAGCAAAGCGGTCTCTGGGGTAAAAGGTTGGCTGAACTTTGGGATGGATGGCCTTATCAAGACAGTTAGGGCCATCCATCTTGAAGTAAAAGATAAAGATAAGACCCAGAAACAGGCGCCGGTCCAAGAGAGCATGGCTGTGCACCCCCCCGAACACGACCTCCCCCCCGGAGCTTCGAAACATATCGAACCAAATCAAACTGGATGAGAGAGGGCATGGAGCAATTGCGACATGACCTCACTCAATTCAGACCTGTCACTGGCGAAGAGCTGAGGGAAGTTGTAAAGACATCAATTGCTCCTATAATTTACACAAATGGACAGTTGCGGGAGGGAGTGGAGGAGGTTCGGGACGTCGACCCTCACAAACGGGCTCCCGGGGCGACCCAGTGTTGATCTCAGTTCCGAATTAACTTTAGCAGAAACCACCGACCAAATTGACCGGCTGCTGAATCCCCTTAGGGACGAGGTAGTCGTTATGGCGGGAGGAGCAAAGGAACTGAGATCAACACTGGAAGTATGGAACAGTAAATTTAAAACCAACAAACTTACAAAACCGCGACCACGATCTTACGCGCAGGCACTGAAGACCGCCCCCTGTCCTAGGCACACAATCATCATAAACAGCACCGACCCCAACAAGACCGGGGACGGTGTGATCCGAGAAATAACAAAAACAATGGATCTAAAGAAAACTGGTCTTAAAGTAGACAGGGTCCGCAAAGCTAGGGACAGGAAGGTGGTCATGTCATGGACAATGAGGCAATGGGGTAATGCCCTCCTGCATCAACTGCAAGAGGGCAAAGAGGGACATCGACCATCACCATCTCTTTTTCAGTGACGATTGTCCTGAGAGAGCCATGTGGGATGGCATTGCAAGGGAAAAAGTAGCGTATTGCTAAGGTCCCCCACGACCATCATGTCCAGGACCTCGAAGTGGGCGGAACAAGGTTTAACTTCATTCAAGTCAACCTCCAAAGATCCAAGCAAGCCACTACCGAGCTTTTCCATCTAGCAGAGGACAGGCATATTGACGTTGCCCTCGCCCAGGAACCTTATGTGGGTTCCAAAGGCGTGGTAAAGCAATATCCTGGCACTAAGGTCATCCAGTGCACCCTCAATCGGCAGAAACCGGTAAAAACAATAATATTCGTCTTCAGTGACAAGCTGAGGGTCATTAGTGACCCTCAGACTGTGACTGAAACGGAGGTGGCTGTATTGCTGGTTTATGGTGGCTTAAAGCTTGGACTTATTTCCGTCAACTTCGAGGGAGACCTGGACATCGAGCACAACATCGACTATGGTGATTTGTGCTACTTCGACCTGAATGCAGATCTACTCAACAAACTTGATCGTCTTCAGAATAACTGCATTCGATTCGTTTTCAGTCTGAGAAAATATGACCATGTTTCCGCATACCGATCTCTCTTAAAATGGATGCCCATTAGGCAGCGCAGAACTATACGGGCTCTGACCACCCTGTTCTCTTTGCTAGATTCTCCAAATGCTCCCCCTTATCTCACTTCTCAATTTCAATACTTATGTACCTCTCATAGTAAAAATCTTCGATCTTCTTCTAATCGTTTACTTATCGTTCCATCACACTGCTCCATTTTTACGAAGAAGGAAGAGTGAATAATATATTCACTCTTCCTTCTTCGTAAAAATGATACTTTTGTGGAATGATCTCCCGCTAGATATCAGAATGTCCCCTAGTAAATATACCTTTAAAACCAAACTGCGAAGCTTTTTATTAGAACAGGCGTTTCATTGAGTGGTTTGTCGTCATTATTTTGTATTTATTTTGGAAGTATGTATGTATTTGTGTATTTATTTAAATATATTAACTTATGTATGTGTATGTTTATATATTATTATTTTTATAAACTTTCTTTCCATGTGATTTCCACTTCAGTTGTGCACCCTACCACTAATAATCTCCACAACATCCTATGGTTGACTGGTAGAGAATGCCTACGGCATTAAGTCCGTCATTGTACATTTGTGCATAAAAAATAAATAAATAAAATAAATAAATAAAACATCGAGCGTACACGCTCGGTGGTTCTATCGCTCAGGGCCCAGACGAAAAAAACTCTTATCGGCGGAGACGACGCGTGGAGCCACTGGTGGGGCAGCGCTGCGGAAAACCAGAGGGGCCAGGCCTACAACTCCTTTCTCGGCGAGATGGAGCTTCACATCCTCAACACCGGAACCACCCCGACGTTCGAAGAACCTCGGGGCGATCGGATGCGTACCAGCTTTGTCGTCGTGACTGTTTGCACAACACCACTCCTCGGGCAGATCGAAAGGTGGAAAGTCTGTCGGAATCTCATAACATCAGACCACAATGCCATAACGTACACCCTGGAAGTGGGGGAGAAGCTTTTGCCGATCCCCATACCCACAACCAGAGTGTACAATACCGCTAAGGCAAAGTGGTCAGAATTCGATAGACGACTACACACTGCCCTGGAGACAAACAGTGTCACAGTCGACAGCATACGATCGGTGGGGACGGGGGAGGAGATGGAGTGCATCATCGACAGGTATATAACATCTATTAGGGAAGCTTGCGAAAGTTCTATCCCAAAGATACTGAAGAGGAAGGACAGGCTGAAACCCTCCTGGTGGACGCCAGAACTTGAGGTCCTCAAGACAAAAAGGCGAATCCGCAACGTTGCCCCCATACGCATATTAATAGCTAACTAATTCTTTAAAGAAAGATAAGCAATTATGGTTGACACAAAATAAAATTGACTACGGAGAGGAGTTTACGAAACCTCAGCTGTTAGAAATAATTAAGAGAAATAAGCCTGAACCTGTGTATGAAATTGAAAAAATATTAGAAGAAAATGGACACAAATGCTTGCACTTACCTCCCTATCATTGTGATTGTAGCGACTCAAATCCGCTACCGCAACCGCTGCGCTTGTGCAGTGAGGCCACACATGGGAATCATACGATGTGACGTCACAGCGACCGGTTTGCGAGCCGTCTATTGTTCCCGCGCCTGCAGCAGCAAGATGGCTGCTCACGATACGCTGTCATTAGCCAACGGGTTGTAATGACCACACCTACGGCGGCGTAACACCTCCTGCTTCAAGATGGCGACGTACGAAGATCCCTTCTCGGCGCATACGCAGACGCCGCGTATAAAAGACGATCTCCGAGTCTCCGCGACCATTACGCTCTCATCGGCTTACGCTTAGCTTTGCTTAAGATTTGTAGATACGTAGTTATTGTTTTGTTTGTTTTTAATTAAAATTATTATTCACAGTAATTGCTTAAACTTTCTTGCGTTTTGCCTTTAGCTAAGTAGCCCGCTTAAATAAATAATAAAATAAAACTGGTGAGCCGATTAATCCAGGGTTCGATTCCCAGAGAGCGCAACTTGTAAGGAGGTTCCTATAGGAGTCGCGGAACCCCTTCACTGGTGACCCCGAAGAAAAAGTGCATTTAAAATATTAACATCTCCGATATAATCCGCAGTGATGCCGCTAACAGACCCGTTCAAGGACGCTCAAGATAGTGAAGAAGGCGGTGGTCAAAGTGCAAGCGGAGAGCGGAGCGCTAGCAGGTCAACGGATGTGTGGCGTGTTGGTGTTCGAGTTCCACCTTTTTGGCCGGAGGAGCCCGAAGTTTGGTTTGCCCAAATAGAAGGTCAGTTCATGCTTTCTGGTATTAATAGTGATATCACAAAATTTTATTATGTGATCGGCCAGCTAGATAATCAGTACGCTGCTGAAGTCAAAGATATTATAGTATCTCCTCCAGCCACCGGCAAATACGATCGCTTAAAATCTGAGCTTATTAAACGATTGACTACATCAAGGGAACGTAAAATAAAACAATTATTAATGCACGAAGAGTTGGGGGATAGAAAACCCTCACAGTTTCTGAGACATTTGCAAAGTTTAGCTGGAGAAACTGTTTCCGTTGATCTTATGCGTACTATTTGGGCAAGCCGGTTACCGACAAATTTACAAACAATTGTTGCACTCCAAAAAGATAGCTCGCTTGAGGCAGTGGCAGACTTAGTCGACCATATTCAGGACATCGCACCCCCCGGTGTAGCGCAAGTAAATAGCTCGAGTAAGGAGTCGGCAGACCCGGCTTTGAAAGCTATTAATGACCGTTTAACACAGCTGTCACGTCAAGTGGAGTCATTGACAATCAACCAACGCAGGCAACCGACGGTGCGTCAAGGTAATTTTAATAATTCTTACCGCAACAGGTCCAGACAGTAGCGGATCCAGGGGGGGGGCTAAGGGGCTCAAGCCCCCCCCAAAGGCATTTGGGTCCGCCCCTGACAAATCTCACACTTTATTATCCTACTTACTTTCTTAGACTCTTAACAGAGAATAAATAATATACTGTTATACTATTACAGTGGGGAAGAATCTATATATCACGATTCCCATCATGAAAAATCTAATCTATTGGGTCAACTGTACGGTACTTTAAACTGTGACGTGACGAGTTTTAAATTCGCGCGCCAATCGAGCGCGGACGCGCTTGTCGCGAGCTGCGCTGGTACTTGTGCTTGAGATAGAGATATACCGTACGCACACATCTCTACACCCACGGCCGGCCGTACGCAGCGTACGGCCGGCCGGTACGTGGGTGTGTGTTGGTAGCATTGCGGGCGGAGCGAGCTTTGATTTGATTTTGATTGATTAGTTGCACAAAAACAATAGACGGGTGTGTTACGCAGTGCTTCTGCTTATTCAAGTGTTTTAAGTTGTTATTTGGGTCTGGGCGTGCTTTGCTTTTGTTCAATTTTGAAAAAAAATGACATCAAAACGTAGTAAGCAAGGAGATCTTCGTTCGTTTTTTATTCCGAAACGAAAGAAAGAGGAGGACGAATCGCGCGATAATGAACCAATATTACCGAGACACAACGTCAGCAACTTAATATTGTCGACCCAAAATTCATCAGGTAAGTACCTACTACAATAACTACAACATCCTTTGGATTATTTTATTCTTATTTTCTTTTCTTTTATTTCATTAGGTACAGTGACAGATAACAGACGAACATAAATTAAATAACTATGACAATAAAGCGCACTATACATCTGCAATACTATAAATCGGTAGTTCTACAAAAGTAGGAATAAAATGAGCCTAATTTCGGCACAAAATTTTTGTAGGTTTACAGTCAGTATTACTATTTGTATTTTAAAAA